CGCTCGCGGGGCCCCCCCCGCCCCGCACCCCGCACCCCGCCGGCCCCGCATCCCGCCGCCGGCCCCAAATGGATTATCTGCGGCTGGTGCTCTCCTGCCTCGTCCCCCTGCACGGCTGCCTGGCCGCCGGCAGCGCCCCAGGTACGGCGGCTGCCCCCGGGACGGGGGGCCCGGGCTGGGGGGTGACAGGTGGCTGCACCCCGGAGGATGGGGAGAAGGGAGAGGGAAGCCGCTGGTGTGCCGGGCAGGGTGGGTGGGTGTGTGTGTGTGGGGGGGTTAAGTTTCAATGGGAATTGGGGGAGATGGAGGCTGGGCGAGAAATAGTTGGCGTGCTTGGCGAGCGAGGGGGACGTCAGCCCGAGTTCCTTCTGCTACGTTGGACGCACCCGCTTAAAACTACAAAGCGGAGCCGGCTCGGCAGGGAAAAGCAGCTGTCGGGCTTCTGGAGCTCCGGCGGTGCTCGCCAAAGGCTCCCCGGGTTGTGTTGGCCCCCTCCGTCCCGGCGCCCGAGCGGGATGCTCCGTGCCCACGGGCCCCTTTCCCTCGGCGCTGTCTCCGCAGAGCTGCTCCTGTCCGGCAAACTCAGCGAGTATGGAGTGATCGTCCCGTTCAGCACCGACTGCCGGGGTCGCTTCCTGTCGCACGTGGTGTCCGGCGAGGCGGTGGCGGGGCTGGGGCAGCCCCGCTGTCCCCCGGCCCCGGGCCCGGGCCGCCGCCGCGTCCCCCGCAGCCCCCCGGAGGAGTCCCGGCAGCGCCGCTTGCTCTACTTCAACGTCACGGTTTTTGGGAAGGAGCTGCACCTCCGGCTGAGGCCCAACCACCGGCTGCTGCCGCCGGGAGCCGTGGCAGAGTGGCAGGAGGATTTTGAGGTGCTTTTCCGGGAACCCCTCCAGCAGCGGTGCCTTTTCACCGGTGACATCTCCGGGATGCCCGGAGCCGCCGTGGCCATCAGCAACTGCGATGGGCTGGTAAGCCGGAGGCTGGTGGGGCGCTTTGTGTTTGTTTCGATGGGTTTTGTGCCCGTGTTTTGGCGTGGTTTCCTCTTAAGAGATGGATCGTGGTGTCCTGAAACCCGATTTTTCTGGTGATGCTTTAGGTGTCTGTGCCGCATGTTGCCCTTCAGCCCTGACAGCAGCAGGGTCCCCTTTCCCCATGTGGCCCTGGGTGCTACCCACCTCCTCCATCAGGGTGGTCTGTGCACCGGTATTTATTTAAAAGGCTTGGAAAAATGTGCCTGAAGTGCTTCCTGCCCAGGTGCTGTTACATCCACGTTCTCTGGGACGGGGACCCACGCTCATGGTGATGCTTTTCCATCCTTGCCCACCCGTGTTTTACCCTGGGACTGCTCCGGGAACTTTTCCTCTGCCTTTCCTGCCTCTTGAATGATGTGTGAGCTCGAGCACCTCCTGAAATCACTGTTAGCTGCAGTCTGGCTCCTACCAAGCATCTTTTTGCAGGAGGACGTCTTTTTTTTTTTTTTTCCCTTTTTTTGCTTTTTTTTCAAGGGCTCAGAGTCTCTTGGCTTTCTGAGCACAGTTCAGCATCAGTAACTTGCTGCCACAGCGCTTTAATTCCTTTGAATGACTCTGTTACCTCCTCATCCCCGGCATCTGCTCTGCCTGTGGGTTCCCCACCTTTGATACGCTTGGGGAAGCGCTTATTTTTTAATACCCTTGGCCCGTTGCCCTTCAGATTTCCTTTGAGCCAATTTAAATCTTGTTTTGGGTGCCAGAGTTTGCTGTTTTCTCCTGCTACCACTTAAAGTTACTGCCAGGTTGGAAGAAATGTCTTACTTTGTGCCTTTTTTATTTATTTTTTTTTTTAAAAAAAAAGAAATTTAAAAGAAATTTAAAATATATCTCTTTTTTTAGTTGCTTTATTCTGGGAGCTCCTTAAGCCAATTTTGGCCACCAGCACAAACAATTTGGCATTCCTTTCTTTTTATACAGCGCCTGGTGTTGCTGTACAAGCAGAAATGATAGAGCAGCACAGCTAGAAATACATATTTCGCCTACGTATAGGAATTAAATTTTTTTAGCACGTAATCCACACCTTTTGAAGCATCCTCTGGGGAATGGGCCGAGGCTGTGGACTCACAGGCATTTCTCCAGGACACGGATTGCGCTGGGGCAGGCAGACGTGGGCAGGCTTGGAAGCTTTAAAGGCATTTCCTACAGACCCAGTGCTGAGTCTGGAGCAGGGACCAGCCACTGAGGTTCCGTGGCAGATCTCATTCCCTTTGGCACCACGAGCAAAAGGATGCTGGAGGCGATCAGCATCCTGCTGTGGCACAGCTTTGGAGGAATTTTCTTCCCCAGAGCCCGCTCTGTTGTTAGTGTCAATCCCAAGCAAGCTTTAATTTAAATTTTCCAGGCTTTTCTGGGCTTCAGCCCCAAGTTTTCCCCAACCAACCCTTGCACACCTTGTTGGTTGTCATCCTTGTTCCAGCTGGAACTTCCAGCTTGTACCACAGGATGCTTTTCCATGTGGATTTATGCATATCCTGGCAGCCCAAGCCCATCCTTTTTAAGCCCATGTAAAGGAAGAAGTGGCTTTTCCCCCAGGATAAGGCTTTGTTGTTGTTGTTTTTTCTTCTATTTCCCACAATAAATTTATTGCTCGGTGGCCAACAGATCACTATCCTGGAGCTACAACCAGGGATTTCCCGTGGTCTGGTGAAGGACACGAGGATGAGGGGACAAGCAGGTGCTTGGCTCCCTTGCCCTTGTGATACATCCAATGTCACAGTTGGTTTCTCTTTTCCATGGATTTTTCTGGCTGTATGGGCCTCTGATTCCCAAGAATCCAACATCCTTCAATCTGCTCTTGGAGGAATGGGGTGATCAAGAAGATTCCCAAAAAAGCAGTGAAAAGAGCTTGATTTAGGAAACGGAGCAAGGAACGGCACCAAAACCTGGCTCTGGGCGTGGATGGGAGGATGATGTTTGTGACCTGTCGGAGAAACAACGGAGCAAATCCGGGGGGGATGTAGGTGGTCAGGAATGTCGCTGATGGGCTGGAGGAAACTCTTCCATAAGCAAAGGACCCTGGAATTCCTGTGGATTTCTGCTGGAAGTTGTCCATGAGCTTTCGGAAGGGGGTTGTGGTTTTTGCATCCCGGCACAGCGCGCGTGGGAGGCGCGGGGCCGCGCTCGGCCGCCGGTTCCCGGCCAGAGGAAGCGCTCCGGGATGCTGCGGATGAGGGCTGTGTACACAAAGAGATTAGGCCGTGTATAAACGGAGACTGAGGTTATAAATAACGGGGTGGAGGGGAGGAAGGGAAAAAAAAAAAACCCCCAAAAACCCCGAACCCAGCTCTTGGAAAAGAGCTTCCACCCAAAGTCTTTCCTAAATCCGTATTTAGCCACGGAAGGGAGCCCATCCTTTTCCCAGCCGCCAAATCCGCGGCACCTTCCAGGGCATCCACGCGTGAGAATCTGGCCTTTCAATGGTTCTTGCGAGGGTGTCTCGTACCAGGGTGGGAAGATGCTGTCGCCCATAACGTAATTTCAAAGCTGATCTAAGCCCCCAAATTCCTGACTGCTAAAGTAGCGTTAGGCAGAAATCTCCGCCGGCGGACACGTCTCGCTGCAGTGGAGGCATCCCAGATTTTTTTTCCCCCCGCCGGCTTTAGCAGCGTGTGGTCGACCTTGCTTCCTTCCTGCTTTGCTGGTTGCAGGGATGGGTGAAGGATTATCACCCACAGACACCATATTTGTGTGCCTGGCTTTTCCCTGGGGTGATTTGCCGTAGTTCTGCAAACTGTAGAGCCAGCGTTTTCCATCCCCGTGGCCCTGGCCTGCTTCAGATGGGTGGCAGCAGATAAGCAGAACACAAAAGCCCTCAGAAGCGGTATTTAATAGGGGATGGAGGGAGAAACGGCCCCCCCAGAATGATGCTCCGCTGAAAAAAGCGTGGCTTGGTCTTCCAGGATTCTCCTTGCAGTTCCTGAGCTCTGTAGGGTTAATTTTTGGGGGGAAAAAGGGTGCAGGATGTCCCTTTGGTCACATAGGTCCCACTGGCCTCAGCTGGTGTGGGTGTTACGTGGGTATGAGGGCTTTTCTCCCGGGTGATAATCCCAAGTTTTGGCAGTGAGATGCAAACCAGGCCCTGTTTGGGCTGAAAACCCAATTAATTAATTAGTGCTGAGCTTGTCTCTGTGTCCTCGCTCCACCAGGAGCTACATTTGAGGCCTGGCTTGGGTCACCTGGTCTGTAGCCACCCCAAAAACCTCTCACCTCGGCCCGAAGAGCAGGGAAAAGGAGTCAAGGAAGGCAAAGTGTTGTGTTTGATGGGCTGCGAAGCCTGTGCTGCAGAGGGGCATGAAAACAGTGATGGAGCACCTCTGGATGCTCCTGATGCCCTCTGCATGGAAGGGGAGCGCTGTTATCCGTGGTGTCTGTGTCCACACTGCCTGGTTTTCTAGGAATTTTTTTGTCCAAATTATGTGTGAATCTTATAGGAAATAGACATACTATGCAGGCAGCTGGATTTCCCCCTCCTGTTAGCTTCCCTGGCCCAGTGCAGCAGCTTTATTAATTTTTCCACATCTCAGCTGTCTTAAGTGTCAGAATTTCCTGAATTCCTGTGGGAGTTGGAGCTTTTTTGCGCAGCAGTGGAGGAGGAGTTTCTTACTCAGGGTCCTGGGGGTCCCCCTTAGTGAGGCTGGACTTCATCTCTCCCTTAGCCTGGGGAGGCACAGGAGAGCTGGAGGAGAGACTTCACCTTCTGTGAGCTGGCAGGAATGAGTTTGATGTACGTTTTCCCTCTTTCCAGTGGAATTGTCTGTAAAGGGCCATTTTCTAGTTTAGGGGTACCTTTGCTGAGAGCTGCAGGCAGCATCTCATGCTGGAAAAAGCAGTGATAACAGTCCCACCAATTGATTTAGTTCGATCTGGTATTATTAAACCAAATTAAAATCAAGGGTGGGAAGCATGTGGCTGATTGATCACCGAGGATGGGATTGAGCTCTTGGAAAAAGCCCAAGAAAAGCCAAATGGGACTTTTTGGGTGGCATCTGACCTTTTCCATTGCCTCTCTACTGTTGCAACCCTCCCAAAATGCTGAAGTACAACCTGAGCTGCCTCTCTTTGTGAGCGAGCAGGTTGGCTCGTGCCTCTTGCAATGGCATTTTTCGGGTTGTTTTGCTTTTTTAATTTATTTTTGTGAATGCCAGGGTGACCTCTGCAGCTTCTGTTTCATTTCTTGGGCTGCTCTGATCAGATGGACACAAAAATCCCCACGTTACGCCCTTCGCCATCGGTCGTCCCCGGAGTCGGCGGTGCGTTGCATCCCACCTTTGGGAGAAAGTCTGGGGCTGCTTTATTCCTTGAGCCAGATATAATTAGTCACGAGCTGTAGAGCAGCTCAAACTCAAGTGGGCTGTGGCTTGGGACCAGTCTCTTTCACATTTTAATCCAGCCTTGCCCTGGTGCGGCGGCACGGCTTTCCTCCGGCTGCCTGACTCAGCAAGTCCTGGCTTTGGCCCTAAACCCATAAACCAGCTTTGGGGTGCCTGGTCCCGAATGAAACGCCCCGTGGCAAGGCTGGGAGGGGGTAGTGGTGTCCCAGAAGAGCTCCTCCTGGGGCGGGGGCTGCTTCTGCTCCTTCTCTTATTGTATAATAAAGAGCAATGTTTTGGAACTGGAAATGAGGAGAATTTCTTCATGGAAGGGGCTGTCAGGCCCTGGCACAGGTTTGTATTCCCCATCCCTGGAGGGGTTGAAAAGGTGTATAAATGTGGCACTTGGGGATGTGGTTTAGTGGTGGCCTTGGCAGTGCTGGGTCAATGGTTGGGCTCAATAATCTTGGAGAGTTTTTCCAACTTAAAGGATTCCGTGATTCTGTGCCCTGCCAATCATGGTCACGGCCTCGCCCAACCATCTCTGAACCTGACTGATGGTTTGACTCCCTGGCTTGTTCTCTGCCTCATCACCACCACCCTGCCTGGTGGCCCTGGTTAAACCCGGCTGTGTTCTTCCTCTCCTTGGCTGAGGGTTGGGGCACAATCCCTGCCCTGGCTGTCTCCTGTGGGAAGACCCTGAGATATGTATGTCGGGCAAGGATTTGGATTGCTCAGGAAGGAGCTGAAACAAAACCAGCCCAAACCCCGCTTTGCAGCAGAGATAAGCAGTTAATAAAAGCCAAGTGGAGCAGGAAACTTGATGGAATCCACCAGAGCCGGGTTGTCCGTTGCCTGATAAATCCAATGGGATGTGAACACCAAGGGGACCCAAAAAGCCAGGCGGGTTTGGAAGAGCCCCCGCCTCTGTCCAGAACACGTCTCTGTGTATATTTTGCTTTGATTTGATTTGATGGGAACCATTCCAACACCCCAACACCCTTATGAGGACTCCAGTAGGTCCATGCAGCTGAAGGCTTTGCTCCAGGAGCAGATCCATATGTTCTGCCGGCGCTTTCCAGGCAGCTCTTCAACAGCGGGCAGCACCGGAGGAAGGAACGCGCGCGTGCGCCATGGAGGGAGCTGGGAAAAATGCCCAGCTGGGGGGGCTGCCCGTGGGATAGAAGCCAAATCCTGGTGATCCTTTTCCTTGCCCGAGGTCTGAGCCGGCCGGCGCTGCGGGGTGTGAGCGCTCAGGCTGATGTAAGGGGGATTTGATGGGAGCTTGGTGTTAATTAGGAGCAGGTCGGTAGCCAGGACAACATTGCCAGCGATGTTTGCCCCGTCATTCATCTTCCCTGCTTTTGGGAGGTGGAGTGGTAATGCTTTCCAGCTTCTGCTCCGACGGGATTCCCCTGTGTTAATTCCCAAGTACTTCATGGGGCAGAGAGAATGGTTTCTCTTTCCTTCTTCTTGTTGCAGCTCGTAGTGTCAGTGAAATGGTAGATATCCTAACAGCACCGCAGGAATGGAGTGGGGAAGGTTCAGGGAGGCTCAGGAGTGTCTTGGGAGTCCCTTCAGCCTTGTATCCCTGAGTTCAGGGTCCGGCACAACTCATGGATGAGACAGAACGGACTTTCGTAGCCATATAAAGACGCAACTTGAATTGCAGCCAGGTTGGGGTTTTTTTTGGTTGGTTGGTTTTCCCTTCCTCCTTTATTTTTTTTTTTTCCCATTTACAGGAGAAATTAAGGGTTGTCATAGATGAACATGGTATTAGAACCATCCTGGTGTCATGGGGTAGGATCAAAACATGATTATTTGGGATGCCTTTCCCCTTTCTGCGTGCTCAGCATCAATCTTTAACGAGTATACTGCATGTGTACGTCCCCCTGCACTTGTATGAAACCACACTGTTTTTCCCCCCCTCCTCCTTTTCCTTATTTCTCTGTGGAGTCCAGGCTGGCCTGATTCGGACAGACAGCAATGAGTTTTTCATCGAGCCCCTGGAGAGGGGCCAGCAGGACACGGAGGAGCACGGGAGGGCCCACGTGGTCTATCGGCGCTCGGCCATCCGGCAGGACGGCGCCGAGCCACGCCACGACCTCCATCCCGAAGGTAGGGGCTGCTGGAATCCGGTCTTTCCCAGCAATTGGTAATAAGTATTTCACCTGGGGAGAAGATTTCTCCTTCCAGGAGCCCTTGTACATCTCACCCTGTGGCTTTAAGCTCAGTTTAACAGCTAAAGTCAAGAAGATGGAAAGGAAATGCTGGGCTGGAGATGCTGCAGCCTTGCTTTCATCACCTCTGTGTTGTGAGAGTGGTGAGGCACTGGAAGCTGTTGTCCAGAGAAGCTGTGGCTGCCCCTGGATCCCTGGAAGTGTCCCAGGCTAGATTGGCCAGGGCTTGGAGCCACCTGGGATAGTGGAAGGTGCCCATGGCAGGGGGTGGCACTGGATGAGCTTTGAGGTCTCTTCCACCCCAAATCATTCTGTGATGATTCTATGAAATGCGGCCTCAATTTGACTTTTTAACAGATCACAGAATCATTTAGCATGGAAAAAACCTTTTAAGGCTCTCAAGTCCAATCATTAATGTGTTTTTTAGGTCTGGTCTTCACAATTCAGAGCCATTTCCCCACCACAGAGCGAGCTGGACCAGCAACCAGCCTCAATATCCCGTTAGAGTTAAATCTCTTATCTGTTCTCCCCGCTGAATTTCTACCCTTGTGGAGTGTCACCGTGGTGTCAGGTCACCTGAAAGGCTCTTTCTTTTCCTGCCCAGTGCCCGGTGTGCAGGTGGGCGAGCTCCCGAATTCCCTGGAGCTGATGACGGAGCGGCTGGGGGACGCGGAGCGCAAGCGGCGCCACGCCAGGAAGGATGACTACAACATCGAGGTGCTGCTGGCCGTGGATGACTCAGTCGTGCGATTCCATGGCAAGGAGCACGTCCAGAACTATGTCCTCACCCTCATGAACATAGTAAGGCTCATCTGTGGGGTGTGTGGAGCCCACCCTTCCCTGGGTTTAGTGCTTTTCTGTCGCTGCGAATCTGTTATCCTGGGAAAGGGAATGGGTTTGGGACGGGGAACGGTGCTGCAGGAAGGGCTGTGCCTTCACACTCTGGCATTTAATAGCCGTGGGAATTGGAGGGATGGAAAGCAAAGCCCTTTGATGCTCATCTCCATCACCTTCCCCTTGCCAATGGCAGGGTCTGGCACGTTGGTGCTGTCACTGTCTGTCACCTGAGTCCAAAAGTTCCTCCTGGCTGAGACCGTTTCCTCCTCATCACTGAAGTCTCAGCAAATGCTAGAAGAGAGAATGGTCGTGGCTTACTTAGTTAGAAATTACAATGTTTGTAATTTGTTTGGCAATGATGATGCTCATGATTCATTCTGAATACTGTTTGTTGGTAGAGGAAATATTTGTATAGCTTTTCAGAAGCTTTTTGGAAACCTGTGCAGCTGGATAACCATTCAGGATATGTTTGAAAAGGAGTTTAGAGCAGCTTTACAGTTCCTGCAGCTCTCCTCACTCAGAGGCATGGAGCAGCCTGTGCTAGTTCCCTACACCCCTTTTTATTCCTTTTTAAGGTAAAAGCATCCATATTCCCTGAGAGATCTGGAAGGATCAATATTTATTCATCCATTTGTCTTGAAGGAAGTTTGCTCCTCCAGCATTTGAATGTCTGCAAATATGGTCTACGCTCAAGGATCTCTTTCTCTCTCCCAGTTTTGTTTTGTTTTCCATCCTTTATCCTCCGCTCTATTTATTTTTCTCTAAGTGTTCTTTTACACAATGGTGGAAAAATGTTCAAAAGGCTCAACCAGCTCTGGAATGGCCAAGTTATAAAGATGGTTTTGGGTGGTTGGTTGTTGGTTTGGGCATTATTTCTGCCATATGGACAGCAACGAGGGGGAAATTATCAACGTGGGGAGGATTTGTGGGATTAGAGGGTGATGGGGTGAAGGATGAGTGAAGTGGCTGGTCCCAAACAGGGAGAATGTCGAAGAAGCAAACACCTCCATCTCAATGTTTTATTACCCCGATGCCTGCTGTCCGATGCTCTCAGCATCACTTAAATTCACTCTCTGAACGTTTCTCCCCTGGGTGTATGAAACCCTCCTGCCAGGGGGAAGCCACAGGTCTCCCTGCTCTGCCCTCTGGCTCTTCCCACGTTACAGGGGTCGGAGCTGATGTCATTTTTCCTTTCCGATCCCGGGGGTGAGGGGGGAGCGGGATGGGCACTTTGAGCACCCGGGGATTGTCAGCTTTAATCAAAAGGTCGGTTTTCAGGCGCATTTCATGGTCCCTACCCCGCGGGCAGGACTTTTCAGGGAGTGAATGCCCGGGATGCTGCGCTGGGAGAAGGGAGGACCCGCTGCCTATTCAATTAAAAGCGGCGCTGAAGACTTTAATGAGGCGAGGGGGAGAGAACCCCCAGGATAATACAGGCAACAAATACTTCCCCCCAAGTATTATTTCCTTCTATATATTCTCCCCCCACCCCCTTCCCCTTCTTTCTTTCTTTCTGGTTTTTTAGTGCGTTTTCTTTCCAGCTTTGCCGTGACCTCCGTCCGCCTCCTCTTCCCTTGGCGCCGCCTCGTTTCCTTACCGGCTCAAATTGCCTTAAAACACCCGATTCAGCAGAAAAAAAAAGGAGAGAGTCCTGCTTTCTGGCCTGGGTGGCAGAGGGAGGGAGAGAGGAGGATGCCGGGGGGCTGGCAGGGAGGAGCCTGCAGGGACCACCCAGCAGAACATTAATCCCATTAGTTGGAGGCAAAGGGATGAAGGATGAGAGGCTTGGCCAGCCCTCTAACGAGGAATGGACTTAACGAGCTGGGAGCCAACTGGGAAAGTTTTCCTGTCGAGATGTATCCCAAGGAAAAGGGGCAACGAGTTTGGAAGCAATGGTAAACTTTCCTGGCTTTTTCTGAGGTCTTCACTGAGCGCCGAGGGAGCAGTGGGACACGTATCCCTTCCCAGCGCTGCTGTAGGTAGGGTCCCGGGGCTCTTCCCAAGACACAAAACCCTTTATTAGGATCTCTGTGTCGGCTGAAGCTCGGTGATAAATGATTTGTCACGGAGAAAAGCTTTTTTCTTTTAAAAAAAAAAAAAAGAAACAGACCCCACAGCCCTTATTTCATTGCCAGAAATGTGGATGCTTTTCAGTGAAGGGCGCTGTGTCCATGCCGGGAAGCTGACATGAGGATGACTGCTCCTTTTGTGCACCTAAGAGCTTCCCTGCAGGCAGGCTGCCTTCCCTGCTAGCTCCCAGCCTGCATTCCCAGCCTGCCCTTCCCTTCTTGGCCCCAGGAATTTGGGGTCAGGTTGGAGTGAGTGGGAAAGGCACGACTCCCCCTCTGCCGTCAGTCGCTGAGCGTGTCTCCGCTCTGAGCATCCACCTAAACCAAAACCGGTCTGTCGGGCTCTTGGGATGAATGTTTGGTGATGTGGTGGCTCTGGAAAGCCATTCCCCTCTCTTGCTTGCTGCCTGTGATGTTATGGAAGGCAAATTAGGATCCCCCAGCCATGGTGACCGCTGAGATCAAGGGCTGGGAACCAGGAGGGGATCCAGCACCCCAGAAAAGGAAGAGGAGAGGAAATATTCAGTGCTTTGCTCTGATTTCCAGTCTCTTGCCCTTCAGGGAGTTGGGTTTCTTGGTTTTCTCTGCCAGATTTCCCACTGCTCATCCCTGATCCTTTCAAGTCTGGAGATGGCTCCATGTGGAGGGGAGAAGCCAAGCTATGGCTGTGTTAAACCTGGCTCTGGTCTCAGCTGCTTTCCTGGGCTTTTGTCGGATATTGCCCTTGATTTGGTGAAGGATGCAAAAGTACTTGGTGTTTTCCCATTGTTTCGGGTTACTAGGGAAACCCCATGAGTCAGAGCCCTCTCCAGGCTGGGACTTGCCTGGCTCCAGCTGAAATTATTGTTCCCAAGGGCAGAGCAACAAAGAGTGCTACTGAGACCCCACAGAAGAGGAGGTTTGGGAGCAAAAATTAAACCTTCAGCTTTAATTTTAACCTGTGTGTGTTTTTCTCTTAGGTGTGGCGTTTATGAGACACTTCCTTGCTAACTGATAATGCCATAAAAACAACAAAAAATACCTCTAATGTCTCTCATGTGTCCATGCACTTTTCCCTACCCCTCTGTACAGGCTTATGTGTTTGTTGCTATTTTTTTGGGACAACCTGCCTTGTTCTGTAGAGAGCTCTGATCAAATCTGGTCTCACCCTGCACAACAGTTCTCCCCTTCCTCTGTTCCTCCCCACAGATAATGTGGGTCAGCCCTCACAGAGGTGACATTATGCATTATGCAAGCCCAAAAATGTGCTAAGGGGGACTTTCCCCTCCCTTCCTAAACCCCCAGCCCCTGCAAAGAGGCTCAGGGCGAATCCAGCAGCCTGAAAACCGAGCGAGGGAATAAAAGAAAGGAGTTTAAGGATGACTTGGCTGTTCCGAGTAAGCGATCCCGGCGTTTTGAAATGTCAGCTATTCTGCTGCTTTGGCAAATTCTTCTCGTGTCTCTCCCTTTGTTTTCCTTCCCTGAAGAACGGCGAGGTCTAGACCTCGTTGCCAGTGCGGTTTTGCTGTCGGGATCTCGCGTCTGGGGCTGCAGACGCGGGGCTGGCCAGAGTTTTGCAGGGATTTAGGGAGGCAGCCTGCCCTGCTCCCAGCTTGTCATGTTCCTTGCACTGTAAAGCATTGCTGCTGTCTCCTTGGTGTTGCAGGGTTGGGGGGAGTCCTACGGGGTGGCTGTTCCTGCTGGTTTGCCCTTAACTCACAGAGACCCTAAAGGGCTGGGCTGTTCATAGGGGCGAAAATTCCATTTTAAATGAAAGAGGAGAGCATTTCTTGCCAGGTGACAGTGTGAAACAGGCTGAGCGTGGATGAGAGGGATAAGAAGATCTTTATCCCATGGCTTCAGGGATGTGGGTCCCTTTACTGGAACCCTTTGCTGAACAGGTATTTTTGGGGGAAGAGGTTTCTCTGAGGACACCAGCTTGCTTAATGGCATCTGCAGAGGGCAGGGGGAGTTGTGCCAAGCCTGAAAAATGCTCAGTGGGTGAATTTCCATTTCCAGGGTGATGCTTGGCCACCCCAGCTCCATCCTCACTTCTTCCACAGGCACTTGGAGCACTTGGGGGAAGCTGGCCCTGCTGATGTCCCACCCCAAAACTTGGGGCCTGCACGGTCGCAGCCCTTGCCACAACCAGTGCCAAGCCCTTTTGACATGATTCTTTTTCCCCCTCAATCAATTATTTATATCTGGCTGTGAAGGGAAGTCTGTAGCCTTGGGCAGTCTGGTTCCACATCTGCTTTCTGAATTAACCCCAAAGGTCGCTGCTGAGCTGGTATTGGTTAGGTGCAGATCCCTGCCTAAACCCTGGACTAAGCAGGGGCTGGGCTTTAGGTCAACTCTTCGTTGGGGAGAGGGAGCTCCAGGTCCCTGTGAGCAGGAGGAGAGTGGGATTTAACACTGCTTCACAAGGAAGATTTATGGAATTAAGTCCCATCTTGGAATAATACAGCAATATCTACTGAGCATCCTGCCAAAATATCCTGTGCAGCTGGGAAGGGAGAGGTCTGTGCTGCTCCTCTTGATGCTCCCAGTCACAGCAAGGTCAGATCGTGGCTGGTAGAGAGGTCCCTGAGGCAGGAACGTGGCTCAGCCTGATGGATTGAGGGGTCCTCAGGAGCAGGCAGCAAGCAGCAGGGTGCTGGTGGATGACCACAGAATCCTAAAATCATGGAAAGGTTTGGAAGGGAGGTGAAAGCTCATCCCATTCCAGCCCCCTGCCATGGGCCTGGACACCTTCCACCATCCCAGGTTGTTCCAAACCCATATCAAACCTGACCTCAAGCACTTCCAGGGATCCAGAGGCAGCCACAGCTTCTCTGTGCTGGGGCCTCCCCACCCTCTGTTCCATCTAACCCTACCCTCTGTCTGAAGCTCCAGCTCCTGACAAGTGCTGGGGGTGAAGGAAAATGCGTGAAGATTTGGGAAAGTGAAAGAAAAGGTTGTGTTTCCTGTCTTGTTCCCCAGACTGCCCCCCAAGGTCCAGCTCTGCATCTCTTCAAGCACGATTTTGATTCCCCCACTTTCCCAGCCTGCCATATTACCGATATTTTTGTAAGGGATCACACTTAGGACCTGGGATTTCTCTGGGATGCCAAAGCCTCCTACATCCTAAAACCCAGGGCTGAGCCTGACATCCCTGGGGAGCTGCAGCTCCTCACTGGGCTGGATCCTTTGTACCTGAGTAATGTTTGCAGCTGCAACACTGCATGACCTTCCACCCTCCTGTGCTCCTCCCCCCAAAAATAGGGTTGGGATCAGAAAAAAATCCATCATATTCTCATAATTCTTACAAAAGGGGGAGGGTGAAGGAGCAGCCCACCCATGGAAAGCAGAGATGAGCTGAGGGTGGGTTGGCCAGCGTTGTATTTCCACACTGATGAATAAAATACCCCGCGGCCCTTGCAGCTTCTGCATCCGAAGGGATGTGTTAATGGGGGTGGACTGGCAGTTTATTGGTTGATTTTAATTTTTATAATCGATTTTTGCTGCATTCAAGGCTCAGGATCTGCATTACCTCTCTGCATGGCTCTGAGGCACCCCATGGGAGTATTGGTTGTCATGGGGAAAAGGTTAACACTGGGTTTTTGGGTTTAAAACTGGCCTGAGTGGGTACTTCAAATGGAATCCCAGGCTGGAAACTGGGGCGGCTTGTAAAACACTGGGGAATGGCTGACTTGGACTTGGGTAGCAGTAAAAGGGTAGTTGTCATCCAGCCCTTGATGTAAGATTGAAAAACCCCAAAGGAATGTAGGAAAAAGTAGAAAAAATCCATAAATCTACCTTCATAACCCCCATCTAGTCTGGAAAGCTATGACAGAGCTGAGGCAAATTAGTCCCTCCTCGGGCAAAGCTGAAAAAGTCTATTTTAATTAAAATATGAATTATACTCAATATTAAAAATGGTCTTGATTCGTTCTCCTTGACTTCTGCAGTGAACCCCCATTTGTGGAACTGTTCATTTGAGAGGCTTTTTGGGGAGAAGAAAGTCCCATTCCCCAAAATCAGGGTGTTTTTCCTCCCTGGGCCGTGTTTTCCCACGTGCTTTGCAGGAGGTGCAGGGTCTCACATGGGTTTGTGGTTGCCCACTCCGTGCCTCTCTCCGTGTCACTGGGCTCAGCTCTCCGAGACGTTTCCCTGAGGTGTCCTACTCTCTTGGTAGTGTTTAGGAGTAGAATTTGTTTACTCATCCTGGAAACACAGAAGGAAAAGGTTGTAGCTGGTTATTTCCTTTGCAAGGTCATTTTTTAACAGCCGAGGATGGTACAAATCTCGTTGACTCATGAGCCCTCCCTGTTCTCTTCATTGTGTTGCCTTCTCCTGGGATTTCTGGAGCCATAGGTCAGGTTTGACTCACTGATGTGACTGAGGAAAGCCCTGGCTTTGGGGAGAGGCAAAGGATTGTATCAAAAAGACATTTTTCCTTTGGATGCTGGAGAATTTCCATCCCTCTGAGGGATTCATATTCCAAAGGGGCAGTGGCTCATTGAGAAATGCGGTGGAGGAAACGCAGCCCTTGATGGAAATGGGTGATGTCATTGACCATCTGAGCCATTCCTGGGGAAATTTTGGCTTGTTCCAGCTTGGCTTTTTGACTTTGTGCTTGTTACACGTGGGAAAATGGGAAAAAGAAAACCCTTCCCACAGTGGGAGGAGGCGGGGATGAGGTCTTTGCACCTGGTCTTGGAAAGCCTGGAAGGGTGTGGAACGTGGCAGCGTTGGAGGGGCTTGAGAGCTGGGGATGGCCTGAACTTCTTCCCTGTTGGATTTCCCTCCCTTCTTCAGGTGGATGAAATTTACCACGACGAGTCCCTGGGCGTTCACATCAACATCGTGCTGGTCAGGATGATCATGGTGGGATATCGCCAGGTAAATCCGGCGCGCCGACGTGGCGAGCGGGAGACGCTCTAATGTTTATTTAGCACTTAGCCAAGCCCGGGCTTGGGAAAATGTGGCAGCTTGTTGGAGCCCAGATGATAACTGTGCTGGTCAGGGGTGAATTTGAACCCTCCTTAGCCTGCTTTTTGGGAGCTGAGGGCCTGGCTAGCCCCCCTCAGGGAGGTGGTGGGTGGGTGGCTGTGGTCTGCTGTTACGTGCTTGCTCTGGGATGTGGGGAAAAGCACGGAGGCTTCCTCAGAGCTCTGTAGATGATGGGATGAAGGTGGCTTCCCCCACTGAGAGGAGCTGCACATTAGTGAGGAGAAGCTGAGGGTCTCCTTGAGCTGTCCTGTAGCTCTCGTGTGGCTTGGGCATGGCCAGGAAAAGAGTGGGAAGGTTTCCTGAGAAGTTTTTGTGTGGTTTCTCAGGCTGCACTTGTTTTGTAAGGCTTGTTCGAGCACAGCAGCCAGATTTTTCATTAAAAACAATGTGATTTTCTGTACTTTTTTTGGGGCAAGCCCCTGTCCCACAGGAAGTGTTCTAGCAAAGGTGTTAATGACTCAACACAGTGATGTCTCTGTGTGTGTGTGATCCACAAATAAGACCGGTTAGGTCTTGGAAAAAAATTTCCTTATTGTAGAAATATGCTTGGCTGGCAGAAACCCACCACATCCTTGAGATCCAGGGATGGTCCTGAGGAGCAGGGATAAGGATGGAGGCTGGCCCATTTTTGGAGGCTTCCCATGGGACCAGGAACATCATCTCTAGCTGTGAACAATCCGTCTGGCTTCCTCCCAGCAGCGTTTGTGCTCTGGGCTGGAGGTTGACCTGTGGAGGGGAAGGGATTTGGAGCTGTGGTGATACAGCGGGATGGGAACTGCCAGGCTCTGTTAGGGATGATTTATCCTTCCCAAAGCCAGCTCTGGAGGCAGCTGCTTTGTCCAGCTACGCCACTTCTCAGCTTCAGGGGACGATGTAGGAAATGAGGAGCAGATGTTTGAATGCAGGAGAGATCTCAGCTCACCACTGTTTAGATCTGATGCTTCCCGAGCGAGTCCTCCTGCATCTTCTCGTCTCCCACTTGGGATAAAACCTCTTTGGCTTCCAGGGGAAGGGCGACACCTCTTCCTTTCCCTTCCCCAGCAGTGGGTTTTCCACTCTCTCCGCAGTCAGTCAGCCTGATCGAGCGGGGGAACCCGTCGCGGAGCTTGGAGCAGGTGTGCCGCTGGGCGCACTCGCAGCAGCGCTCCGACCCGGAGCACGCCGAGTACCACGACCACGCCGTCTTCCTCACCAGGCAAGATTTTGGGCCTGCAGGTATGCAAGGTACTGTATTTGTCTCGATCAGGTATGTGCAGTTTGCTGCGAGGGGGAAAGCCAGCGAGGGGTGAGAGGATTTCTTGCGAGCACAGTCTGTTTCTTGGCCAGCAAGGTCCAGAAAAAGGTTATAAAAATCGGTGTTGTTTTTTTTTTTGTCCTCCACGTGGTGAAGAAGAGAGACAGACAGAGAATTAATCCAGAGCCTCAACCTGAATGGATAAAATGTCTATTTATACTCCTGCTCTTTGATTTCATTTACCAGTGCTCCCCTTGGCCCAAAATGCCTTAAAAATATAAAAACAAGTTAAAAAATGATGAAATACAACAGGAAGCCCCATAGGGACAATCAATTTATTCTGTCCTCTGGAGGACCTTTAAAATCTGTTTTTCTGTGGATTTATTTCTTGGACACGGGAGCATTCCATGAACCCTGGGCCAAAGAGGAAGTTTTACTGCAGGAATCTCTCACCCTCTTGGTGCAGAGATTGTGCCGGTGTGGTCTGAGAAGTTGGAGGCCTTGCTAATAAAAATCTTCAGCAATTTTCAGGGAAACCTGACGTTTCATGGCTCCGTTGGGAAAACAGCTGCATTGGTGTTATCACGAGAGGTGACTTTTCCCAGTTCTGAGCCTGCTGCTTCCAAATTCCCATCTCCTCCTTTCCACACTGGTGGCCAGGTCTGGATTTCTGTCAGGAGGCTCCATTTGATGCCGTGAATGGGGTGGGTATTGTCGCCCTGGTCTGTAGCACAACTCCTCCTGGTGGAGGAAGGAAAGGTGGAGAAGGAAACCTGTCCTAACTTGGATTACCTCCCTGAAAAGGATCCCCCTCAGCAGGAGATGAACCTCAGGAGATATCCAGCTGGAAACCCTCCTGAGGGTGCTGTGGCCACCAAACAGCAGAGCTTGGGTTGTGCCTGAGACTCTGGTCTCCTTGTCCAGAGTCACAGGGGTGAAATACCGGCTTTTGTTTCGTTTTTCTAGACCCTTCCTGGCAAAGTGACTGTGTCCAAAGGCATTTGTGAGAGGACCATTTTTGGCAGACTCCCGAGGCTGCCCCTTGGTGGGAAGGAGTCGTGAGATCGATGGGGTAGCCCTGCTCTAGGGGTGCTCCCTCCAGCAGCTCCTTCCCCTTTTCCCTGGCTCTCTGCTTGCCACACATCCCCAGGACTCTCTGGAAGTCCCCATGGTTGCCGTGTCCTTGCCTGGCTGTGCTGCATGGCACAAGGAGCTCCTCATCCACTGGGAATTTCCCTCTGAGTGGGCTGCTGGAATAGTAACTCTGCTTGCTCTTGCCTCTTTCCCCCAAAACAAAGTCCTTGCGGATCCCCAGCACCCCTGTTAAGCTCAGGGATGTGTGGAATGAAGGACTAGAGCGTGGCACCAAATTATCCCTGCCCTTTGAAGAGAAAAGCAGTGGACAGATGGGTTGTAAATTATTTATTGCTGCTGTAGAGGTCTTGTCAACACCCAAAGAGTTTCCGTGTCTCTCTGCAGTGGGTGGCACAGGGGGATTTTCTGGCCTGAAGGATGCTTGTGCTCAGAATTAAATATTTTTCCAGGTAGTTGCTTCTCACTGTCGTTCTCCTGTGAGAATCTTTTATACTCATTCCAATTCTTACTGGAGTCTTCATTACAAAAAACTGCCTTTGTGAGCATCCACCTTTTCATATTCCATTGTCCCATCTCCCATCCACAGCTTCTCTGGTTGGGAATTTATCCAACTTTCATCCTACACAAAATAGATTTGCCCTCCCCCTGTAGAGGAAGCTTCCCACAACTTTATCCTTTCTTGTGGAAAGTTTCACGGGAGGGGATAAAAGTATTTTCAAAGGATTTATCCAGGGCTTGTTTTATTCCTCTGTGGTTAAACCCCATTATGGGAGTGACTTGGTGTGGATCGAGCATCCCACAAGGATGGGGGGACTCCGTGGATCCCGTGGTTTGGCCAGGGTGGGTGTAGGGATGTGCACTTCCCTCAGCTCATCAGCACCCTTCTCCTGCTGCTGCCCACTCCTGGCTCACTGAACTCTCCTCTTCCAGCATCCCAGTCCCCAGGGCATGATCATCCAGCATGGTCCTGCCCTGCTTTTGCCTCTCTGACCTTTAAGTCCTTCCTTCACTAACTCCCTTGATGCCAAAAAGGGTCAGCCTTAAAAAAAAAAAAAAAAAAAAAAAAAAGAAGCATAAAAAACTTTGGGGGAGTAAATTCTGGAGTGTTGCCAACAAGCTAATGGAATTGGGCAGAAATAAGGTGAAAAAGAAAGGAAAAAGTGACCAAAATGGATGTGATGTGTTGCTGCCTGGGCAGGGGAAGATTTCTCTGCCCACAGCTGCCCCACTGCACTGCACTTGATCGAGGGCTGGGGTCCTGGGGCCGGGGCGGGTGCATGCGCTCCATGGGGAGCAGGGCTGTGGTTTTGGCAGGGCTCTGGGGAGCACTTCATGCCTTTCCTTCTCTCTCTTTTTCCTTCTTTATTTGTTTTAAATGAAGAAGAACGCGGTGGATGCCGATCCTGGGCTGGGAGGCGATGGCCACCCACAGTGACAGGGTGTTGTGGGTGCTGTTTCTGCCCTCCTGCCTGCCCAGCTGTGTCGGCACTAGGGCACAGCGGTGCCAGCAAGCCCCAGAGCAACCTCTGCTGGCTTTTGGCACTGGGGTGGTCACGCTGGTGAGCAAGTCCTGGGCTGCCATCCAAGTGACCTGGGCAGCCCCTCCTCTTCAGCGCCTTCCCCTCTGTTTTCTCTGCTGTTGCGGTGAAGCCAGGCTATGTATTTGTGTTTTGGGGGGTTTTTTTCCTTAATTTTTCATTTTTTCCCCTCCTCTCTCAAAGGTTTTCTCTCTCCTCTCCTCCTCTGTCCTCCCCTCCTGTCTTTGCCCCAGGCTACGCTCCGGTGACGGGGATGTGCCACCCTCTCCGCAGCTGCACCCTCAACCACGAGGACGGCTTCTCCTCGGCCTTCGTCGTCGCCCACGAGACCGGACACGTGTAAGTGCTGGGGGGCAGAGCTGGCTGTGCTGCTGCCCCTCTCCTTGCAAAGGGGGCTTCCTGCTGCGCTGCAGGCGCCGATCCCATGGGATTTTCCCCTCCAGGTTGGGCATGGAGCACGACGGCCAGGGCAACCGCTGCGCCGATGAGACCAGCATGGGGAGCATCATGGCGCCGCTGGTGCAGGCCGCCTTCCACCGCTACCACTGGTCCCGCTGCAGCAAACAGGAGCTCAACCGCTACATCCAGTACGCCCCTTCCAGCTGGGAGGGGATGGTCTCCCTTCAGATCGTGGCTGGTGGCTTTTGGTAGCGAAAGATGCTGGAGTGCCTCTGGAGACGGGCTGGGAGAGCTGGGGGTGTTCGGCCTGGAGAAGAGAAGGCTCCAGGGAGACCTTGGAGCCCCTTCCAGTGCCTAAAGGGGCTCCAGGAGAGCTGGAGAGGGACTTGGGGCAAGGGGGAATGCCTTCCCACTGTCAGAGAGTTGGGTTAGATGGGATATTAGGAAAAAGTTCTTTCCTGTGAGGGAGGTCAGGCCCTTGCAGAGGTTGCCCAGAGCAGCTGTGGCTGCTCCTGGATCCCTGGAAGTGTCCAAGGCCAGGCTGGACTCTGGGGCTTGGAGCAGCCTGGTCTAGTGGAAGGTGTCCCTGCCATGGCAGGGGATGCAAGTCTATGGCCTTGAAGGACCATTCCGACCCAAACCATTCTAGGTTTCCATGATAATCCAAATTTCTCAGTAGCTGGATTTGGAGAGTGGCCTGGAGCTGAGGGATGGGGTGACGGAAGGAGATCCTCTATCTGACCCTGCAGCTCCTACGACTGCCTCCTGGATGACCCCTTTGAGCACCAGTGGCCCACCTTACCCGAGCTGCCGGGAATTAATTATTCCATGGACGAGCAGTGCCGCTTCGACTTCGGCGTGGGCTACAAGACGTGCACGGCGGTGAGTACGGGCTGTATGGCCACTCCATCCCCCCTTCCCGAGATCCCCGGCCAGCCTGGCTGCCACCAGCCGCTGCTGTCCCAGCCCAGCTGCTCTGTGCCCCCCAGTTCCGCACCTTCGACCCCTGCAAGCAGCTGTGGTGCAGCCACCCGGACAACCCCTACTTCTGCAAGACCAAGAAGGGGCCGCCCTTGGATGGGACCGAGTGCTCTCCTGGGAAGGTGAGGGCTGGTCCTGCTCCCTGTGGGAGGGATGCGATGAAGAGCACCTTCCTCCCATGCTCTACCATTCCTGTAGCGCTGTGGGTGCTCTCCACTGGTGCTGAGCGCTTTGGGAGAGGTCTGGAACTCATTCCTTCTCCTCCCTTCCAGTGGTGCTTCAAGGGCCACTGCATCTGGAAGACATCAGAGCAGCCTTACAGCCAGGATGGCAGCTGGAGCTCCTGGTCCAAGTTTGGCTCGTGCTCCAGGACCTGCGGGGGAGGCGTGCGATCCCGCAGCCGGAGCTGCGACAACCCGCCGTACGTCTGGACTTTGCCTCCCTCCCTTTTCCCAACTGGAAGTGGCCGCGAGCCAGAGGTTCCTGGCTCTTCCCCTCGTTGGCAGGGATGGGGACATCCGTTCCCGCGGGAGCTGTGCCGTGTGTTGGGGCGCTGAGCTGTGCTGGGGTTGAACACCATCCCCTCTCCAGCGCTCTTACAGCCCGCTGGGTTTATCTTCCAGCCCGGCGTACGGAGGGCGCCAGTGCCCGGGAGCCACCTACGAGTACCAGGTGTGCAATGCCGAGGAGTGCCCGGGGCCCTACCAGGATTTCCGTGCCCAGCAGTGCTCCAAGCGCAATTCCTACTACACCCACCAGAACAGCAAACATTCCTGGCTTCCCTACGAGCATCATGACGGTGAGTGGCAGCGGGTCCTAGCAAGGGAGCCAAATTCCTCCAGAGGACTCTGCCCTGGTGGCCATCACCCTGGGATGGAGACTGTGCCAGCTGCACACATGTTGGGTGGTGGGAAGCTCCTGAGCTGGAAACTGTTGTGCAATAAGCCAGCATCAGGCAGCCAGCTTTTTAAAATCACGGAATCACAGGACGGTTTGGGTTGGAAGGGCCCTTAACGATGATCTCATTCCAACCCTGCAGCCGTGGGCAGAGACACCTTCCAGTAGACCAGGTTACTCACAGTTGGAAGAACACTTCCAGGGATCCAGGGACGGCCACAGCTTCTCTGGGCAACCTGTGCCAGGGCCTGCCCACCCTCACAATATAGAATTTCTTCCCAATACCCCATCTAACCCTGCCTTCTGTCAGTTTGAAGCCATTCCCCCTTGTCCTGTCACTCTGGGCTTTTCTCCTTGTCCAAAGTCCCTCTCCAGCTTTCTTGGAGCCCCTTCAGGTACTGGAAGGGGTTCTAAGTTCTCCCTGAAGTCTTCTGTTCTCCAGGCTGAGCACCCCCAGCTCTCCCAGCCTGGCTCCAGAGCATAGCTGCCTACTTGCATTGCAGCCTCATGTAGAGTGTCCTGTCCTGCCTTTAATTTCCTGAGTGTACCGGGCAAAAGTGCGGGCTCGGGAGATCAGCCACATGAATATCCTGGGCTTTGGAATTGTGGCAGCTCAGTACAAGCTGAGATGGGTTTCTGTCTAATGAATTTCCACAACCCCCTTTTCCCCCCCACCTCCCTTTTTCTCCCCATTGCCCTTTCCCTTCCCGCAGATGCTCAGAAGTGTGAGTTGATCTGCCAGTCCGAGGGCACGGGAGACGTGGTGTTCATGAACCAGGTTGTTCACGACGGGACCCGCTGCAGCTACCGAGACCCCTACAGCGTCTGCGTCCGGGGAGAGTGCGTGGTAAGGAGCTGTTGTGGGGCTGTCCCTGTCCTTTCCCTGGCCAGGAGAGAGCTCAGCTCCTTTGGGGCACGTGTTTTGCCCCGGGGGGAAAAGCCTGTGTGCAGCAAAGGGGATGGCTGGGCCGCAGGGCTGTAACCCTGGGCTGGGCTGCAGGGGTGTAACCCTGGGCTGGGCTGCAGGCATGTAACCCCAGGCTTGTCCTCTCCTCCCCTGGGTGCCAGCACGTCGGCTGTGACAAGGAGGTTGGCTCCCTGAAGCAGGATGACAAGTGTGGGGTCTGCGGTGGGGACAATTCCCACTGCCGGACAGTGAAGGGCACGTTGGCCAAGACCCCCAAGCAGCCAGGTGAGAGGGCTGGGTGGGTTTGGAAGCGGATTCACGAGCTGGATTCATGCGTCCAGTTGGATGAAACCTGCTCTTTCTCTTCCCTCCATCCTTCGTCCCTCCCTTTCAGGTGTTTTGAAGATGTTCGAGATCCCAGCTGGAGCAAGGCACCTTCAGATAGAAGAGATGGAGCCAGCATCCCACAGCATCGGTGAGCATGCCCCAGTCCCTCCCTTCACCCTTTCCCTTCACCCTTTCTCAACCCTTTTCTCATCATTTTCACAAAAGGGGGTCTTGTTTAGGTCATTCCCACCCTCCAAAGCGAGTGAATGATATTGAGGGAGGGAATGATATTGATACTATCTCCTTTTATTTATTATATTGAAAATATAATTTTATTTATTATATTGAAAATATCTCCTTTCTCTTCCAGTTGTTAAGAATCAAGCCACGGGGAACTTCATCCTGAATGCCAAGGGCAAAGAAGCCAAAAGCCAAGTGTTCATTGAGATGGGCTTGGAGTGGGAATACGCTGTGGAACAAGGCAAGGAGAGCCTGAAAACCAGCGGTCCCCTGCACGAGGCCATCAGTGTTTTGGTAAGCCTGGCTGGCACATGCTCTGGGGGGCTTGGGGACAACTGTCACAGACAGGGGAGGTGATCTGAGCTGTGATGTGGCAGGTGATGGAAGGATGTGGGATGGAGGAAGAGTGTGGGGCACGTCATTAAATCCAGGGAATGAGCCAGCCAAAAGCAAAGGGTGACGAGCTGCGTGAGGGAATGGCACGAGGACATGTTGCTTGGGCACTTGCCTTTGAGTCCAGCTGCATTTTGCTCTGCAGCAATTGCTTGTGACTCCAAATCCCATTTTAGTTATGCTGGTATGTGGGGAATTAGAGGCTGGGTTCCCTGGACATGCAGGGAATGGTGGGCCTGTTGCTCCCATCCATCCCTGTTCGTCCCCAGTTTTGGGTGTAAGCCACCTCGCCACGTGGCCCCTTTCTCATGGCATCGTTCTTCCCCCTCTCTGACTGCTCCCTCTGTGCCTGCAGGTCATCCCTCAGGAGGAGGAGGCGAGGAGCAGCCTCATGTACCGGTACATCATCCACGAAGACCTGCTGCCCATGATTGGAAATAACAATGTCCTGCTGGAGGAGATGGATTCCTACGAGTGGGCCCTCAAGAGCTGGTCCCAGTGCTCCAAGGCATGTGGAGGAGGTAACTTCCTCTTCGTAACAGCCTGCAGGGCATGCTTGGGGGGATGCTTGAGTATGGTAGAGGGTGTGTGAGCCCCTTGGGGCATCCCTGGCACGGGGAAATTATTGCCAAGCAGTTTAAGTGAGCATTTTAAGAGGATTTCTTACAAAAACAGGCTTTCGTGATTGTGTGTGCGTACCTTTGTCTGTCTACCCATGGACCTGCTATGATTTTTGAATTCCTTGGCTGTTTTTAACTGGGTTTGAGCCAAAAAACAGTGATTTTGAAGATGCCCACTACTAAAGTTTGCACAGAAATAGGTGTGAGGTTTGCAGGTGAAAGCAAAGCTTCCATATGGCCACTGGGATCTGACCCTCAGATCATGGGGAACACCTTGTGCTCTGGGAACCAGAGTGGTTTGGGTTGGAAAGAACCTTTAAAGGTCACCTGGTCCAAACCCTTGCCAGGGGCTGGGACATTTTCCACGAGCTGTGTGCACTCCACAGCAGCCTGGGGGACCCCGGGGTGGGATCCAGCAGCCACACGAGCATCCTCAGCAAACCTTGGCTCCCTCCTGAGTGGTGACATCTGAGAGTTCATATCCCAGCAGGGATGCAGGAGATGCGGGGATGCAGGGATGCAGGCCTGGGGGAAGCTGGAGGGACTCCCACACCCATCACCTCCCTGCCCACTCTCTGCCCCCTCAGGCATCCAGTACACCAAGTACGGCTGCCGTCGGAAAAGCGACAACCGGATGGTGCACAGGAACTTCTGTGACAACGGCAAGAAGCCGAAGCCAATCCGGAGGCGCTGTAACCTCCAGGAGTGCTCCCAGCCCATGTAAGTCCTCTCTGTGTGGCCCAAGGTGCTCCCATCCCTCTCGGGGCTGCGTTGGGAGCGTTTCCAGCCGCTTCCCAGCTCAAGCATCGCCTCACAAACACCTTCTCCATGTCCATCTTCCCACCCTGGCAGGTGGGTGGCGGAGGAGTGGGGCGCCTGCAGCCGCTCCTGCGGGAAGCTGGGGGTGCAGGTGCGGGTGGTGCAGTGCTTGCAGCGCCTGCAGGACGGCACCAACCGCACCCTGCACACCAAATACTGCCCTGGGCAGCGCCCCGAGACGCGCCGGCCCTGCGGCCGCCTGCCCTGCCCCGCCCAGTGGAGGACGGGAGCCTGGTCCGAGGTGAGGAAGGCCCTGGAAGGAGGTGGGTGTGAAGGTCAGGTGCTTCTAGGGGTGACAGAATTGAATCCTGGAATAGTTTGGTTAAAAGGGATCTGTAAAGGTCATCTAGTCCAACCCCCACCCCGGCATGGACAGGGATGCTTTCCATTAGCCCGGGTTGCTCAGAGTCCCATCCGGCCTGGCCTTGGTGGAGATAAGGGTACAAGAAACAGTGAGGTTTTCACAGAATCCTGGAATGGTTTGGATTGGAAGGGACCTTAAAGCCCATCTCATTCCAACCCCTTGCCTTGTTCAGGTCACCTTCCACTAGACCAGGTTGCTCCAAGCCTGGCTTTCAATACTCCAGGGATGAGGGAACAAGAAAAGATGAGAGAGGGGAGAGCATCCCTGCGCAGAGAGAGCGTGAGGGTTTGGGAGACAGGGAGGGAAACCCCATCTCTGAAAGCAGTATCCACCTGGGGAACAGCCATCAGCACATCCTGGGGTGCTGTGGGGGTGTGGGGGCTGCCCCCCACCATTGCTGACTGCCTGCCTGTCTGTCTGTCCGTCTGTCTGGGCGCAGTGCTCGGTGACCTGCGGGGAAGGCGTCCAGCAGCGGCAGGTGGTGTGCAAGGGCAGTGACGGTGGTGCACGCTGCGAGGGTGACAAGCCAGAGGCCATCCAGGGCTGCCACGTGGCTCTCTGCCCAGGTGAGAGGAGGAGGAGGAGGAGGAGGAGGAAGAGGAGGAGGTGGTGGTGGTACTGGGATGGGGCATGAACTGGTGGGGATCAACCCACACCAATGCCTCCAGCCCGCTGTGGCTTCAGGGGATGCCAGCGGGGACAGGGTTGGGTTGAACACCCCTGGTGCTGCTGACAATAAAAATATACTAAAAGCCAGCCAAAATATTTCCCTTCTCTGCTCTTAGCCCTGGCATTGGCTGGTTCTGGGTTTTCTGGCAGTTTGAACGTGTGATGAGCTGATGGAGACGGGCACCCTCGAGTTTATCTTGGTTGGGGTTTGAGTGGCTTAAACGCTGGGTGCTGAAGGGATTTAATTTTTTAAGGAGATCCCTCAAAACAAACCAAACACCCTGCTGAGGTATTTTTGAGTGCCCTCAGGCCTCCCCCTGAGTGGCTGCTGGGCATGGTGGTGCTCTCTCTGCAGGGAAGCTCTCCGGCAGCACCGCCAGCGCCGATGCCGGTGACCACGGCACGACCAAAGGGCAGCAGCGGGTGCCCCAGGACGGAGCCAAAAACCCCGTGAGCAAGATCTCCTCCAGTAAGTGCCCGTGTGATGTGGGATAACCCTCCTGATTTTGGTTTTTTCAGGGCTGAGATTTTTTTGGGATACTTTTTTACGGGGAGTTTTGCTTATTTTAGTTTTGTGTTAGGAAGAGTTTTGTAAACTCTTAGGTAAAGTTTTGTTAGGTTTTTGTTTTTCGTGTTTATTAATGTATTATTAAGAGACTTGGTAGGCTTTTCCAGACTTTTTGCTCAAGTTCAACTCAACTGGCTAAAATTGGTTCGAATGGCACAAAATGGCTTCGAAATGCGCAGCTTTTTTATCTTTATACTCATTTTTACTCAATTAACAAATGCTAAGTAAATTATTTTCCTTAGTGATTTTATACCTTAACAGTTGTGTGTTGCCCTGTGGCATTCTTTATCTAATCACTTACTTAGAGACTCTTAGAAGAAGAAGAAGAAAGAAGGACAAGAGACAACATTTTAAATCTTCTCTCTTGTCTTCTGTTCTTTAAACTAATTTAAACGCTAAACTTTAACTTTTTCACTCAGTGACTTAAAAAAACTTTCTAATTTACACACTCATACTCTTAGTTTTTTTATTTAGCAGTTGTTTTCATGGTGTTATATGAAATTCTGTGGTTTTTTGGATGTCAGAGCCAGGTATCTGTGCCTCAGACTCCAACACCCGTGTTCCTGTAAGGGCAGCGCTCCCTGGGATAACCCTCCCCAGGACTTCTGCTCCTTCCTGTGGGAAGAGCGGAGGTGGGAGCGCATCCAGCAGCGCTCCTGGGGAGTTTTACCCTGCTCCAAAGCCTGTTGCTCCATTGCCATCTTGTGGTGTATGAGGTCCTGCAGTTTCCGTGTTGCCTCCCGGTTTTTACGGCATTTCCTTTTTACCTTGGAATTTTTTTAAGTAGGGAGATGGCTTCTGGTTCTTCCCCCTCGGAGTCCTTCTTAGCTGGGTCATCCCTTGCTCTCTGTTTTTTCTCCTTAACAGAATCCTTCAGCACTTTTGCTTCATTTTCTCTCTTGCCCTCTTCCTATGCGGATAGGCAGCACCCTGAAAGGGTGCCTTGTTCCCTTTGGGAATCCCATTGGAGAGGTGCAGGGCTGGGAGCCTAATGCCACCTTATTTTGTGCTGCTCTGTCCCTCTCCAGGGGAGCCTTGCCTCGGGGACAAGTCCATCTTCTGCCAGATGGAGGTCCTGGCTCGCTACTGCTCCATCCCTGGATACAACAAGCTGTGCTGCGAATCCTGCGGGAAGAAAGCCTCCCCCACCACTGGCACACCCCCTGTCACCGGCATTCCCATGGGAACCACCGCTCCCAGCCCTGCCCCGGCGCTCTTCCCCTACCCCACTACCCCGGCTCGGGGGGAGCCTGGTGGGGACCCCACCTCAGCACCTGGGATATCCAGCAGTGGTGCTTCTCCAGGGGAGCTGCCAGCCCCGAGGGAGCCGGGAAGGGGCCAGGGGGCCAGGTAACCTGCTCGGGACCACCTCACTGTCAGGCAGGGGAAGCCTTTCTCCCTCTTCCCTCCCTTTCTCCCCATCTTTTTCCTCTCCCCCAACTTCCAGCGATGGTTTGCATGGGTGGTGCTGCCAGGTTTGGGAAGGACCTGGCTCCACCCCTAGAAATTCCTGGGAGAACCACTCATTCCTCATGAGCCCCCTCGCCCTCCCAGCCGTGCCACGGTGCTTTTTGACAGCACCATGGAAAAAAAGGTGGAAAAGAGCAAAAGACAGGCTGCTTCCTCCCAAGGTGCTACAAAGATGTGGGAGGGGGATGGCTTTAATGTTGAAATGCAACAATCCTTCCCCCTGCTCCGAGCAGCAACACAAGGATGTGCTGGACACAGGAGGGTCCTGGCTCGGTGGTTCAGCCCTGGAGCTTGGGCATAGCAATGGGAGGATCCTGGGAATCTAGGGTGGGAAAGGAAACTGGAGGGAGGTGGGGAGAGGAAATGTGAGGAAATCCCAAACTGCTGCTCTGGGCTGTCCTTTTTGGGGTAGAGAATTTGGGGGAAACATGTCTGGGGGAAGGTGGAACGTGACAAGCATAGAGCTACTTCTGTCCTGGAGGCAGGAGATGGTCCAGGAGATTCCAAAGTGAGCAATGCCAACCACGGGTCAAAGACCAAAAACTGAGGTCAAAAATGCCCATCACCAGGGGGATGACTTTTTTTTTTAGCCAATACTGCCCTGCACCTGCCTTGAGCTGATATCGATGCCCAGCCTCCCCAGGATCACCAGCCTCATCCCTGCACCCTTGGACCCAGTCCCTGTGGGGCAGCAACAGCTTCCAGAGGGAAATGGGAGTGACTGGGAAACCAGGAGCGGATTTTAGGGGTAGTTACAAGGAGAGGAGAGAGATGAAGATTCATCTGCATCTCTCATTGCTTGGGAAGGGCTGGGAAGGGGGTGATTAATGCCCTGACAAATTATTGTGCCAAGTACTAAACGTTTGCACAGCACTTTAGGAGCCTTGGGCTGCCCTCTCCTCGCCGGGTGTTGGGCCAGCTCTGGGCACGGGGTTTGCCTTGACAAGTTTCAGTCCTCAAAAACCTCCCAAAATTGGTGTCCCTCAGGGGGGCTTCCATGATTTTGGTAGTTAGGGTGCAGCAGCAGGGGAAGGTGGGCATCTGTAGGGGAGGAAGTTTTGGGAACAGGGAGGTGGAGTCCCAGGAAGGCAGGGCTTGGCAGACAGACCAGTTTGGCATTGCAAAGTGAGATGTCCTTGGGAGCCCATCCGTGGTGTGGGTGCATCTGCTGGCCCTGGGGGTCCTGCTTCCCTAGTATCCAAGGAGTAGGATGTGGCATTCCTGGGGACAGTGTTTGTAAGCTCTGCAGGTATCCAGGGCTTGCTGGTGAGGTGATTTCCCCGGTCTGGCATGGATTGTGACAGGGTTGAAGAACTTGCTCTGACTGAAATGGATGGAGACCCCTCTGCATTCCTGATGTTTTAAGCATTGGAATCCCCTGGAGCTTCCCAACACTCTCCTGCTGGACGAGCATTTTTCCAGCTCCTCTCAAAGCACCCGAGGCTGGAAGTCCTGGCAGCCTCCTGGGTGCTGCCCTTTGGCATTAGGTGGGCATCCCAAAACGTGGAACAAAGCCCCCCCATCTGTCTGAGCCACACAGCTGGCACACCCCGTGGGAAGTGGGCACATGGAGTGCCCAGATGCACAACATGCATTGTATTGGTACCCACAGGGGATCCTGCAGGGATACCAGGGTGGGATTCATCCCTTGGAATGAATTCCCCAAGGGATTCACCCTTTGCCAGCCCCTCCACGGGAGTGCCAGCGTTTATTTATTGTGCCAAAGATAACGCTTTGTTTGCTCTCCAAGGAGCATAACAAAAAGACCTCCTTTCCCCTCAGAAATGGGCTGTGATGTCCTTCCTCCGAAATTCCCAGCTGTGCCCCTCCCTTCCGTGCTGGCCTAGGCTTTGGTGCTTCATTGCTTAAGGAATATTTGCAGTGGTTCCTCCGCACACCTCGGGGGAGAGCTGTGGCTCGGGACTGAGCCAGCTCCTCGAGCTGACCTCAAGCTGGGAGGTGGAGGAGATCTAAAGCAGGGTGTGACCACCTCTCCCCCACCCGCTGTGGGTGATGCTGCAGGGCTGGCACCCAGCACGGCGTGTTTCGTGGAATCCTGGAATGGTTTCACTTGGAAAAAACTGTAAAGCTCATCTAGTTCCAGCCCTCCTGCCCTGGGCACAGACACCTCCCACTAGACCAGGTTGCTCCAAGCCCCATCCTGGCCTTGAACACTTCCAGGGATGGGGAATTTATTCCAGCTGAAGGCAGGCTGAGCTTGGGTGGCTTTGTCCTGTCTCTGGTCCTGTCTCCAGGAGGAGAGGATGACTCTGGTCCCCTGCACCCTCCTAAGCCAGGTGGGTGCATGGAGTCGTTCTTGTGCTGTAACCTTGTCCAGTGTTACCATGATGTATAAAGTTTTGTACATACGAGATTCAGAGCTTTTTAACTTTTAATATTTATTAATTTTGTTGGGTTCTTTTTTTTTTTTTTTGAACTCTAACATAATGTAAAAAAAGAAAATAAAAATAAATCCACATAAAAATCTCTTGCTGTTTTGATCTGTTTTGATCTTGATCTGTTTTGAGGATGTGTGTGTGGAGGGGGAAATATGAGCGTGACCCATGTGTGGTTGTTGAAATGGATTTACTTTGTGTTATTTCAACCCTTCTCTTTATCAGCCAGGATTTCACACTCCTGTTTTGAGGAGTAAGAAAATCTCTAAATATATACTTATATAGATACACACACACATAAATAGTTGAGCCAGTGCAAAAATAAATATTGGTGTATTGCTGGTTCAGGCCAAAAAGAGCCCCTGCTGCCATGTCCAGGTAAAAAAATGTGAAGTGTGAAACCAGGGTAGGGATCAGGGCAGAGAGCAAGTGTCAGGGTGTGTTTTGGCAGCCCTCCTTTCCCTGTTTGATGCCAAAAACCAGTTCCTATTGCTGGGGTTTTCACCATAATCTCACACAAGGTTTGGTGTTGCCTCAGTTGTCCCAGTTTATGGATCTCTACTCCATTTTATGGATCTTCTGGATGCTCCACTCCATCCTTAAAGCAGCAGCTTCCCTCTCAAGGACCACTCCCTGCCTTGCCTCCTGCCCTTTGCACTGCAGGGCATGGCTGGGAGGGGACACTTGAGAGGTCCCCAGTGCCACTTGTTGTCAGGGGCAAACTGGTGGCACTTGCATGGGAGGGAGAGGAGAAGAGCGTGGCTCTGCCCTGGGGATGTGTGGGAGCTGCTCTGAAGCCACACTCACACAAAACAGCGCCTGTGTAGGAACACAGGTGTTGTGCTGGTGATTGATGTTGCTGTAATCCCACAAAAAAAGGTTTTCTTTTCCTCTTTTCCTTTCAAATGTCTCCTGCAGGCCTCTGGCTCTCAGAGTGATGGTGGAACCGCTACGTCCTTTGGCATGAAGTCACTCAGCCCTTCCCCTCGTGTTTTTAATGGCCCCTCCTAAAAAGTCAAACCCAAACCGTACCAGCTCATTCCTTAAAATCCAGCCACACTGGATTCCTCTGGATCTTTGCAGTGCCTGCTTTTTCAAGTGCTTTGAAAACCCTGCTTGGATTTCCCATGGAAAAACTCCTCCACCTGTCTGTTGTTGGATGCTCCCCTTCCACACAGCAACACTACAGCTCATCACACCTTCGGGTTTTTAGACTGCAGCAGCCTAAAAATATTTGGGCAAGGAGGGATTTTGGGGTTTATAAGGGATAGGAGAGACTTCAAGGCTTGCAGCTGGTGTGGTTGTGGCTTTTCTTGCTGGGGTGGCCAGGCCAGGCCAGGTTGGATGGGTCTTGGAGCAGCTTGATCTGGTGGAGGATGCCCTGTCCATGGCAGGGGATGGGATGAGATGAGCTTGAAAGTCCCTTCCAGCCCAAACCAGTCAGGGATTCTATGGTTCTGTGAGATGGGGCAGAGCAGGTGCTTGTCCCCATGGGAACTGGGAACACGGCTGTGTGTCCAAACACCTTCTTCACTGCTGATTTTCCTACAGCAAGTATTGCATCCCTTCCACACTCACACTCCTGGCCAGGATGGAGTGGGTGGAACAGTTTTCTAGGAAAACTTCCGTTTTCTTTCCCATGGCTTTTGCCAAAGGGTTTTATCTCAGCCCTGGAGCCTTGCTGGCTCGGCTCAGCCATTTCCCAGGCTCCCTGCCTGACTCACCAGCCCTGGCCCTGAGCTTTTCCCCCCAGCTTCTCCTCGGGATCTGCTCAGCTGCCGTGGTTTGCCCAGCTGTGTCCCGTTGCAGCTTCCCAGTTTTCCCCCTGCATTCCTCATTGCTGGGCAGGTTGTACTCAGCCACCCTGCCAGTTGCTGCTCCTTGGATGCTCCAGACTTATTCCAGGGTGCTGTGGCTCTCAGATAAGTGTGTGCATGTCCCAGGAGAGCCTTGCAGGGATCCCAGTGTGATGTTCATGTCCCAAGGCAGCTGCCAGCTCTGCGGTGGAGGTTTGGGATGTGCAGATTTATGTGAGGCTTGCCACAGTTCAGCGCTGGGATTTTCACTGCTGCTTTGGTGAGTTATAAACTGGGAGGTTTTTTGATTTTTAGTGGAGTTTAGGGGCGTCTCTGAGGCCCAGCAGTCAGGAAATACAATTCTTTGTTGCCTAGGAAGGAGAGAGCAGTGGCTCAGAGTTCTGTCCCAGCACTTCAGAGCTGCCTCTCCACTAAATCCCCAAGGAGAGCTGATGCTCACCATTCTTTCAGACACATTCCCTCACTTCTGTCACTCTTTCTCATGGTATTTTTGTCTCTGCAGCCAGCTGGAATAGACAGGCAGATAATGTTTTATGGTCCCGTTTGGTGAGTGGTGTCCACGTGCTCTCCTAAGGGCTGCATGGGATGTCCTGGCAATAGAGAGAGGTGCAGGGGGAAAGAAAACATGGAAAACTGCTTGTGCTGGCAAGCCTGGAGGCCAGGAGGGGACG